AAGAAAAAAAAAAAAAAAAACGGGCTTAGAGTTAATAAAATTCTTTAGTAACTGTGGTTATTTTGGTACACAAACTAACTAGTCCCGTTATGCTAACTTTTATATTATGTGTGAACTAATATTACTGTCCTGTGTAGAAATGTTAATCATCTAGTTCCAATAATATTAAAATTTATAATTGTAGTTTGCTGTAACTACACGTTTAAACAACTTAAAATATCTATGTAGGGTGAAAAAGAGGGTGTAAGAGTTAGACGTATAAGTGCATTGTCATCTTTGAGCAGTCTGGTGACTGAGGAGATGAACACTGGATGATGAGTGGGCGCGAAAACTAGCACTTTACAGTTCACAATTCCAAGGACGATTCCGAAGTCTCTTGCTTTTTTATGACAAACCCAGTGTGGTTGGTTTTGATAGCTTGATCGTTTCACCAGAATCCACTTACAAATTAGTTAAAGAAGAGACGGAAGGATTCGAAAATCACTGGCAAATATTTGCGAAAAAATACCTTACTCCGAAAAAAATTAGGAGTTTCATGGTGGCAACAATCTGTAGCACACTCTTGACGCATGATTTTCATTCTTAGAGAACATGATTAATACTCACCATTGTTCCGTTTTGCGTAGACGTCTAATTCTTCTTCAACATCACATTCGATACAGAAACTGGTTAGTGTATTCAATAATTCGTTGTGTAAAGACTTCTTTAAATGTAAATCCATGAATGTGTGTTTGACTCTCCTTACGTTTCATTAAATTTCGCCAATATGAACTGCCTTAATGGGAAACCTTTGTTGCTGTCGCGGATATGGACTTTGTACTTCTGTTTCAAAACCAGATGTCTACATAATATCATTAGCAAAGGTCTCTTACCTATGAAATGTTATACGTATAAACGTCTCTCTGACCATCAAAAAGACATGCAGGAGAGACAGGCTGGGAATTCACAAGATACCCTGCACTGAGCAGCCACCAAGTTATTGATTCTTTCTATAACAGTTGTCAAGGAACTTATCCCTAAGTTCCTATTGTTTCGAAGACGCTCCACACCGATAAATACTAAGTACTTTCTTCGATTTTAAGTCCAAAACACCAGTATTGTAAGAAGGAAGTTATATTGTTGGAAGCTGAAATATAGAAGAGTACAAGTCTACAAACAAATGATTTATACAAATTAATTGAGTATTTTTATTCGTTTTCGATCGTCGTCGTCAAACTTGTACACGATCGAACTATTCGCACCTCCAAGTTGCCCAACAGTGGCTACCAGTTCCAAACACTTGCTAGAATGACCCTTGCAGAAAGCAACGTAATCATAGCAGCACTTCATGACGCTCGTCGCACATCCTCTTATCTATTCACTACCAATTACCACTCTGATAGTTTGTCACTCATTCTGCCTCATTTCTACTAACAGTGACGTATGCAAGCCTCAGTCGTCTTTACTCCCGCTCCCCGGTGTGTGGGACCACAGCCTAAATAGAAACATTCATTCTCAACCATTGATTCCACAGTTAATCATTATCTCCGTGTTCATGTCATTCTCATCAATAGCCTCCCCGGCGTATACGACCCGTCTGCTGTCTTTAATACCAATCAATTCATTCGCGGATGTAGAAGACTAGAAACAACTTCAGAAGTAAGCACGACGAACAATTTAACAAAATTATGCGATAAAAACAAGATACGAAAACAACGATAAAACGCAGTGAATCCAAAAAACACCAATCGATATGGCACCACACATTTATACAAACAGTACACATAACCCCGCAGATCATGTCTCGATGTAATTCCTTTGAAGAATTGCAGGACTTACACCAGTACGCCTGCAACCCTTCTCAGATTAATGATTCTAAGCTGAAGAATGTTCGGACACAAACAAGACTAACCAACAATTACATCAATTGGAACCCACTCAGTTACTTAATAAAAACATATTGACAATCAACACATCAAATGTTGTGGATTCCGGCTTGATGACCTCCCCTTGAAGAACTGTGGGACCTACAGCAGTACGCCTACATTCCTTCTCAGGTTGATGATACAAGTGGGAGACGTCTGGACACAAACAAGGTCACCAACAGATAGATGAGAGATGATATCAATTCAGTATATACCACATGAATATATGTACAAAATCACACACCAAGTACGATGGACTGCGCTTCGACGTACTACCCTAGAAGGACTGTATGACTTACAGTAGTACGCCTACAGCCCTTCTCAGGTTGACGCTCTAGGTTGGAAAATCGTCGCAGAGTTCATTTGCTGATTTCTTTCTATCATCTATATCCTCAAATCTGAACGGTGACACGCCCATGTCATTGTATCGTAGAATAAAGATGACTAACAAACATACGACGTATCTGACCAATCAAGCATAAGCACAGAGCAATTTACACCAACGATAATAACATTCAAATAGCAACTTGGAACTTGAAAGGCTTTTATTCGTGCAAGTCAGTTTAACAATTACCCTCTCATACACAGTTGGCTTATCCTCACTAAACTGACCATTGACATTCATCCTTTCAAATGGACCTATACTAGCATAGTCATAGCATAAGACACGTCAGTTCATGGACGTCGCCTTCACTGTGGATGACAATTCTAACGAAGACTGAGTGATACAAGCTGATGGTGCATCAGAAGCTCCTTGCAACACGCTGATGGTTGGAGGTCTCCCATCAGTGTACTGCTTTCGTATTTGTACAAGACTCCCTACCATTCAGTTTGGTTCAAGTGCCTGATAGCAAGAAGTTGACTATTTCTTTTCTGTAGACTTTACAGAAGAAGATGTCGTTAGACATAGAGTTGTAAGTTTGTGATGAATATAGAAATAAGGCATGAACTGGAATATTCTGGTTCCACCTTTCTGCCCAGCCACTACAACTCACCAACTAAATGAAGCGTTCCACCAAAAGGCAGCTGGCGTACCACTCTAAATCCCCAAACCTACCTGGGAGTTCCATGTCGCACTTTATTGAAGTGGTGATGTGAGACAAAGAGCGACTTCTAAGCCCACAAAGTGAAAACTGAAAATCCAGATAATGTTATAGGTATGTACCCGATGAACTGCTGTCTGACTGAAAGAAATCGTCACACTTTGTGTATATATATAAGTAGGGCCAGGCAACAGATCGTTTACTGAGAAAATCAACAAATATTTACAGACTTTTACGCATATTATTATGGGTTATTGTCAGCGAGGAAACAGCGTCTTCTGATCTGTCGCTTTATCACTGGAGGTAATCTGTCATCTCTTTGTGGCCGTTTCTTTGAAAGTCAGACCGTATATATACGAATCGTATCCGCCCACGCAAAGTCTTTGTTCTTGTTTTTCTCATGACCAAGATTTTGGAAGTAAACATTGACGCAAATTGCTGTCTATCAATTTTGGATAGCAGACAGCTCTCATCACATTATTCAAGTTCGAAAAAATGTAACTTATTAACGCAATCATCCGTGGTCTTATTCCAAAAGCGCTGGAACGTATACCGATGACTGAACTGAACACCACGGACAAAAATGGTAGGTCTGCTGACGGAGACGTCGGGTGCATACAAGCCTCGCAGACTAACAAAGGGACACAGGGCAGGTTTTTATGCTGGAAGTGGCTTCAGTAGCTGTTTCAAGAAGTAGCCACTTCACCCTTCAAAGGCGAAAAACACCTGTGTCTAGGTGAGCAAATGAATGGTTGAAACGACGCCACAGTCTCCGGAAGTAGGGTTACGAGTATCAAAAATATTCAGATGCTTTCATAATTATATCAGAATAGGTGGGACACATCACGATATGCGCCATCTCCAAGCGACATGGTCTTACTTTACGCCAGGGAGAGGTTTAACACGAGATCAACAATCTCTAGAGGAATCTATGTCCCTCACTTCTGGCGAAGACTGCGGAGAATTTCAAGGCATATTGGTTGCAAAATGGATTTATAAGGCCCTTTATTGAACACAGGTATTTTGTTATTAGAGAATAGTTACAAGTAGTAGATGTGGCGCATGACGACACTGTCAAATATAGCGATTATAACAATGAGGTTTTACTGAGCCAAGGTTCATTTTGACAGAAATAGGTTCCACGATAACCGGAACTCACTAGGCTCCGCAATGATGATGGAAAGACTGAGGGCCCCTTATTAACTCGTGAAATATGACGAACTAGAAAGTTTAGATACAGAATTTTTAAGATTTTTTGAAGATGGAATGGCCTTCAGTATGTCAAACTGAGCCTATGAGTCAGTATGTCAATATGCTGTCGCGGCTAGGCACAATCTATTGGTTCACAAAATAATACACTGCACTAGAACTACTGCTAAACTGGTGATCCCATCTACATATGTAATAAATATGCAGCACACTATTATTGTTTGTGAAAATCTTAGACCAGTGGCATTATGGTAATTCACTTTGGATTTCCATCATAGTTCCTCACCCACTGCCTACTGAACCCATTGAAAGTGCCACATCGTTTGGGCGGGTTGTGTCGGAAACTATGTGGAACCCTCTTGTTGTCAGCGTCAATGGATTGGCTTGCCAGCCAAGTCGGTTTAATATGGGGAAAAGGACTATTTCACAACCAGAACCGTCTAGTGTTTATATGCACAGGAAGAGAGCTCGCTTAGATAATCTTACGGAAGAAGAGAAAATGATCAGAAGGTACTTCGCAATAACTGTGTTCACTTTAATGTTTCAGGAAAATACTAAATCGAGAGGCGGCTCAAAAAGCACGTGATCGCAAGAAAGACTTAATGGAAAGCATGGAGGAAAGCTTGGCCCAACTACGATGGGAGAATGAATATTTAAGGTCATCAAATAGAATGCTACGGCTAAAGTTTATCGAACAGGAGGAGAAGTTTCAGACACTTCAGAAGAAACTAGAGGGTATTATAAAACATATGGGCAATATTACTGAGAGGCGGATTGAGCCACAAGAGTCTGCAGCACTCCTCCCTCAGCAGAAGGGAGTGGCTCTCTGCCTCTCCGTACTACTATGCCTTTACAATTGTCAGAGTCAGAATCCTCCTGCAATCCCCTCTATGAAGACGCTCCGGACGATATATCATCAACGTTGTTCGATGCACAAGTCGTTGAGGTTACATCAGAAAATGTATCTGAAACCCAGAAGCCTGGAAACTTCGATCCCACTGACAACTTGACACCAAGTTCTCCTGCTTTATATGATAGCATTTTATGCAGTCTGCAGGATGATCAACTTGAAGATATTCCTGGACTAAGTGATGCATATGATTCAGAAGAGAGTCTTAGTGACCTTTTAGAACTTTTGAATGGTGAGGCGTTTGACCATGATGTTTCTACAACGAACTTCAATTAATTTATTTCCAATCCCTGTGATCATGTTATCAGAAGCACTTTTCATTCTGTAACATATTGTACATATTTCATCTCACTACTTAATATTATTGATCTCTATACTCATTATTTGCTTTGAGTCATTTACAGTAGGATTGCCTGATACCTGGTTAGGTCGCTTTCACACATCGTGAACGTCCCACTATCTATGTTCAGGGTGAGATACTCTACTAATGCGGATTTTTCTTAAACTGCCCTTGAGGATTATCTGCTTGCCTGAATTTATCTGACAGGCGAGTTTGTCGTCTCTTGGTGAATTCAGCCTGCTGGTAATACTAATGTCATGGTTTAGGAAGATCCGACAATACTGTCTCGCTCATTGTGTCATTTTTTCGTTACAGATTGAATTTTGAATTAAATTGTGTAGAGCATAGCTCAGCAAACTAATTCAGAATTGAAACTCAGTCAAAATCGTAGGCTGGGATGTGCCACTTCAGTAAGTTGCAGCCGGTTGTCTACTATTTCCTGTTGTTGGTTAGATAAGAAGATTCAGGCGCGGTAGTACTTGAGTTAGTGGAGTTAATTAAGTCATACCCCGCCCTCTCTGGAGCCAGGTGGTGTTCGTAAGCAGTCGTCCGATAATAAAGAAAGTCTGTATTTTATTCTGATTAACCTGAAGTATTTGACTCGCCAATAATATAATCTGTAATAGTCGGCAGTTACGGATAGACGTTTAATGAACAAAGTCGTTCTATGATACTATTGTAGGTTAGGGTCCAGTAGTGTGGTGTCTAAGGTTACATGTTGGTAATGGTTCTTTGGCCTGCTTGCCGAACTCATGTTGAACCTATGGGTTATTCATTGGTCCTGTTTGCTTATTATTTCCCCTAGTAGGGTGGCGGGCACCTCGCTAATTTATATAGGTTAAGTATGGAGATCAAGTTTTCAGCTGGGTTACTTTAAACATTGTGTTTATTGATGAATTATGGTCCATTTATCTTTACAGGTAGTTGTATGTGCGATATTTCTGACGCCTTGTTTCATGCTATTTACTCATTACTCAGTTTGAATGTATGTAGTAAAACATCGAAATTTGCGTAATCTGGGGAGACATTTACCATACTAGTTGTCACTCAAACAAGTTATTTACCAAATAAGAGATTTGAAGTCCTCCCCAAGCTTCCTATAATGCTGAATTAAATTTCACTAATTCTGAAATAATTCTGTAGTGAGTAAATTCAGAATCTGTTCTGAAATGGATTCTTTAATGGTACAGACTAGAACACAGTGATGGTTCCCAGGATGATTGACATACAGCACCGTGTTCTTTTTCTAGGCATCTTCAGGAGTAGATCAGAACCTACTGTGTTTGCTTAACAGCGTTGTTCCAGTCTTCACAGGACGTATTAAGCATGGACTAGCGTTACTTCAGAACGAAAAGACCTAGTTCGACACCCAGCTTTTTTTAAAAGTACGACCAGCGTTATTTCAGAACATATTGGGTACATAAAGTATTCGTTTACCATAAAAAGGCGTTATCGAAGAATAGGTTAGAATAAGTTTAGAATTGTTCTAGGCTTGGGTCAGCAATGATTTTAAATGGTAAAATGTTGGACGACATATTTATGCAGTTCATCTACCTTATTACGGTTCGTGTAGTGTCGTAATACTTAACTCTAACACAGTTATTGGCCTATTACCTGCATTGGATGGTCAAAGCTTGGTAAGTAGGGTCTTCCCCTAGTTTCTGATTGATTAAATGGATACTGACTCGTCGACGTGATATTTTTACTCATTTGAAACATCTTGGTATACTATAGGCACCAAGAGATGAGTCACGCAAAAATAATAAGGCAATACGAAGAAAAGGAATAGATTAATTAAGGTACAACATAAGTACGAGTAAGCATACTCATCAAGAGCATTCGAAGAAGCTGTCATTACTTCGCGTTGTTTTCAGAAATGGAGCAATGTATTTGTCTATCTAATAAACCACGATATGGAAGCCCAGACTGGTATTTCATGTACTTGGTTCGATAGATTAGTTTGGAGAAAGTACACACAAATTTATTTTTTGGGACGGAAAGAGCTTACTGCTATTCTTTGGCTGCTAACAACCTAAAGATCACAAGATTTATTATAAGTGTAGGTGTGTGATATACTTTAGTTAAAAGTGCATTTCTTAATTGCTACTGCAGTTATGGTACTAGTTTGAATACAGGAAAGTTAAAGTCGAACAATTGAAGTTTAGTCATACATAGTTTGACAGAAGTTTAGGAGTTAAGAGTAGATGGAAGGAGTCCAAAGATATGGTAAGTAGGAATAAAATAATGAAGTAAGTCAGAGGCTTAATAATAATTGACATCGTTATATTCACTTCTTCTCAGTTCACTTAACTTATCAATAATCTTATCACATCCCGTCGCCCAGTTTATTTCTCCAATCTCGAATCCGGTTGCTCTTAAAGTGTTTGCCTCCCTCACTGAGTGCCTATCCACATTACAACATGTAGCTTATTGCTGCGTCGGTGGTACAGTGGTTAGGACTCTCGCCGACTATGCACATGGTCCGAGGTTCAATCCCCTGCCGACGCAGACCTGATGTCTATGGTCGGTCCGAAATGCACAATCCGAAATCTATGGTCGGCCTGCAAAATTTGGGCTACTGATATCCATGCTGAAAATTCCCTACTTGTACCAAAAATACAGTGTGGAATCAAGCTATAATAAAAAAATTAATTGTAATGCTTTATTAGACACCTGTACCACGAATTTTATATTGAGAAATCGCATATGTTAGATATGCATGGAGTCAGCTGTCCATCAGATACCACTCTTATAATTTGGGAGTTGACCTGGTGGGGTATCAAGTACCGAGAAGTCTCGAAAAAGAACAAAACAGTTATCCAGTGCCCCCTGGTTTCCAATGGTTCTCTATTCATGACGAATTCTACCTTATGTTTCATATTCAATATGAAGGGATCCCTAGGTGGTTACCGAACTTTTTTAAGTTCATTAGTACATCTTTAATGAGACTAAACAGAAATGGAGACTGGGAATTCCTGACGGACACTACTGGTTGTCATCACTTCAGATGACAACTCTCCTTAATCAGTTACCTGGCTCTGTAAGTTCGAGTAGAGTCCCTTGATCGGTGCAATGTATTTTCTCGACATTCTCTTCACAGCCAAACATCGCCATAGTGCCCCTCGGTTGACGGAATCTAATGCCGCCTTTAGGTAAAGAAATATGGCGACTGTTGGACTCCTGTGTTCCAGAATCTGTTGACGAGTGAAGATGTGATTAATACACCTTCTTCCTGGTCTAAAGCCTGCTTAGTTCTCCCGTGTTTGTGCCTCCTGAGCACCACTTAGTCTGCGCATTATTATTGAGCCTAGAACTTTAGTTACAATATTAGTCAAGCTAATCCGCCTGTGATTATTACAATAAGACTTGTCTCCTTTCTTGTATATGGGGATAATCAGTGACCTACACCAACCCGACGGGACTTCCACTGATTCCCAAACGCTGCCTAATACCTTGGCGCAGACAGTAAACTGTTTCTACCACACTTAAATACCTCTGGAATCATTTCATCGGGTCCCAGGGCTTTAAATCATTTCAGACTAATGAAAACTTTTGTAAACTCAGTTATGGGCGGAGGACCTGTGTTTATATCCCATTTAGGGAGGTGTTGGATGCTGGGTAAGTTGGACATGGCTGCAGGGCAATTAAACTGTTCCTCAAAGTGTTCTTTCCAACTTTTCAGTCGTCTGTCTTGGGAGCTAATTATGGTGCCATCTTTGTCGGAGATTGTTTCACTTATCATTTGCCTTTTACCACCTGTTTCCCTGATAAGTTTAAATAGTTGTTTGGCGTTACCTATGGCCAATGCCTTTTCCTTAGCTTTTTTCGCCCACCACTGTTCACAGTCGTTGGGAAGACTTCTTGATAGTTTGCGTTTGAGTAGCTTTTGCTTCTCATCATATCCGTAGCTCTCCGGAATCAGTCTTTTTGCAGTAATCAGTTCGAATGAGGTAGTAGAAATTCAGTGGCTCTTACTAACCCTTGGTTTTACGTAATTAACAGCCTTTACATATGTGCCTATAGCTAACTATATGTTGTGCCAGGCCTCCTCAGGAGGAGTCTTGAGTCATTCATCCAGAGAAAAAGGCTGTATTGCTAATAGAAGTTGTACATTTGTGACCGCTGAATTCTATAAAATTTCACAATTCGAAACCTAATTATCGGATAAAGCATTATTTAAATACAAACTCTGAGTAATCAGATGACAATAGAAATAAGTGGAGTATTAATGAAAGTTAGATATCGGGCAGTCGTTAGTACTTACAAGTTAGGTAGAGTACTGGATTATTGGATAACTAGACAAATTACGTTAAGTAGGGGTTGGTCAACTCTAGATTATCAACAGCACTACCAATAGCTTACAAGATCGTGTGAGAAGGAATTGAAAGATTATGGGCAAGCGTGATGCCAGCTAAAGAGGACCGTGGAGAACAGGATAAAGTGGAGATGTGATTTTGAAACCTTATGTTTCACTTGGAACCCAAGAGGACAATAATATAAAAACAGAGGAATGCGCATTAGTAGTTTCGGTGAGGTCAAGAAGTGAAGGAGAAATGACAATGTTTCATATATATGTCAGGAATATTAATGTCCAACAGTCATGTTGATCTACTGCATATTAGAAATATGCATTTTACTCTGAAATATTGGATTAGTTGACTGACAATATATATTCTTTTCAGTATACGAAATTTAGATGATATAATAATCAACATGGGAGAAACCGTCCTAATCCCATCATATATGAGGTAAAACTTATCAAGGGAAATTTTGAGCATAATAAAAATCTCCACTAAGCCGTATAAAAGCAGAAGCGTTCGGCGAAGAGTTATTCTTTTCAGCGATATCATTCTCAAGAGGTGCAATCGCATACATTTAGTAGATTTTCATAACACATGAAAGCAATGTTTTCGAAGATGTGTCAGTGAAATTGTAA